GGAATAAGGCTATCCGTTAGGTTTCTGTTCCTAAGGAATCCTTTTACACTTTACAAGAGTTACTAAACTAAAAGGTAAAGAGAAAGGGATGTCTGTGACTTGCTTGACTTGGGGGAAATTCTTGGGATTTATATATCTGTTAACAACTATTAAAGCTAAGTGTCAAAGCTTAATAATTATTAGAGTGAAGCATCAGATGTCATGTGTCAAGCGTCAAGCGTCAAGTGTCAAGCGTCAAGCGTTAAGCGTCAAGCGTCAAGTGTCAAGCGTCAAACGTCAAGCGTCAAGCGTTAAGCATCATGTGTCAAATGCTGTATTTGTTCTACCTACTATAATTAAATAATAATAATAACTAATACTAATAATAATAATAATGCTAATAAATAATAAAATATATATTTATGAAATTATACTAAAATATAATAATAAAATTCAGTCTATAATACTACTAATAATATAACTAATGCTAATAATAATAATAATAATAATAATGCTAATAGTTAATAATAAAATATATATTTATAAAACTATACTAAAATATAATAATAAAATTTATTCTATAACAACACCAAAAAAAAAAAAATTTAGTATATGTATATTATAATACACTCATCTAATCAACTAATTAAATTAAAAAATCAGATATAATATGAAATTAAAAAAAAATATTAATTTTTTAAAAATTGTTTGCAGTTCAAAATTTTGCTTATAAAACTACTTTATATATTTTAATACTAGCATTTACACTAAATTAATGCACTAATTAGTTTGTTTTAATTTTATATTATATCTGATCTTATAAATGCATTACAACATATATATATACAAAATAATAAAAATTATAAATAAATTATAATTTAAAAAATATATTTTAAAAATTTATAAAAAAGAAAAAAATTTAAAATAATTAAAAATTTAGTTTAAAAAAATAGTTATATAGATATAAAATATATAAAATTATTAAAAAAATAAAATATTTTTAATTATAATAATAAAATAGTTATTTAATAAGAAAAACTAATAAGTATCAATTTATATTATAAGGAAAAAAATAAATAAAAATATAAAAATAATTAATAAAAAAAATTTAGTTCAGAAAAAATTTATCAAAAATAAAAAAACCTAAATTATAATAAAAAAAAATAAAAAATTAAAAAAATAAAAAATAAAATAAAAAAATAGAATTTAATATAATAAAAAATTCTATTTGTAATAAATTAAAATTATTTATATATATATAACCTTTTAAACTAATCTAATACAACCTAAATATTATTTCAACCAGTGTAACAGATGATCTTGGACATTTATAAAACAACTAAAAAATGTCAAATTAGGAAATTAAATTAAAGTATATACAAATTTGTAAATACAAATCTTAATAAAGATTGACAAGACTGCTAAAAAGTTAAAAAAAACTATTTTTTTTTTTTAAAAAAAAGTAAATATATATATATAACAGCGTTTTTACTAACCATAACACACGGTTTATCATTGGTCCAAAATTACGGGGGTACAATTTTTGTGGAGCGTTACTCAAGATATGCAGGGGTAGTCTGTTCTAAGCACAGCCGCAGAATTGAAATTTTTTCAGGTGACCTTTCCTGCGTAAGCCTCTGTATTACCATATCAAAAAAACGTGCGACAGTACAAAATTTGTTTGCACCACTTGACTGATGAATGATATCAATTGTTTTCCTAATTTTATTTATATAAAAATATGTAAGCTAATTATTTTACCAAATTTTTATCTTTTACATATCAATTGAACTTGATTTAGTGTAAAAAATATATTTCTTAGAAATTTTGTCCTCAAAACCTTCTCCCGTTTTTTTTTGATTCCTTAAAGGATATTACATTTAAGTGATAACATTATAACGATGGATTATGAATATGAAGTAAACTTATTGATTTTGTGTTACCTTTTTATATCAAAAAGAAAAAAAATATATTAGACTTTTAAATGTTGGTTACCTTTTATTTAGGTGGAAAAAGTGATTGATAAGAAAGAAGAAAACGTAAGTAGTCTTTGAAAAGATGTGTTTTTTTTAGTTTGATTTTTGAAATACCATATAAGGAAAGTTGATAAAAAATCTGTTAGGGTTTTTTGGTATATTTGCATGTTTTCTATTGACTTTTCATGTTATAGTTTCATAAAGTTCAATTTTATCTAATACATTATTTAATGTATTTATTATTACGTGTACTAACAAAATGACATCATTTAACTCAATCTTTTTAGGAAGCTGTGTATTACTATCTCAAATGGAAAAATTTTGATGAGTCATATAATTCTTGGTAAGACTTTTTATTTATGCTTAAATTCTTTTTTTTTTATTTTTACTAAAACTACATACTAACTCATAATTATTTTAATTGCAATATGATAGGGAACCTGCTCAGAATCTTAATTGTCCAGAATTGATACAAGCTTTTAATCTTGAGAAAGCGTTAGAACAATGGTTAATAGAAGAAGATTTGTGCATTCTTAGACAGCAACCGCAAAATGTTAGTTTTATTAATATTATATACTATTTATTATCTGTAAATTTTTTCAAATCTTTCAATAACAATTATTGACATTTAATAAGGATCAATCTTAAATAGCAAATATGTTTTATTATATATATTAACCATTGCATATTTGATACAAATTTTGTATCTATTATCTATTTTCATATTTTATTATGATAAATTCATTAAGGATACAAATTGCAAAAAATCAAAAACGAAGAATATGGTCAAATTCGAGCATTCACACCAAACCTTTGTTCATAATGATGAGCCACCAATTCCAATCTTCAACGATATCGATAATCAAGGAATCCCTCTAGAATTCACATATGTTGATGATTATGTATATGGAGAAAATGTTCCTCGTCCAGAACAATATCAAGGCCCTATAGTTGGATGTGAATGTGAATTTGGTAAATGTAAAGGGAAACAATGTAATTGCTTAAAAAAAGAAAATGGAGGCCGCCTTTACTACAACCGTACAAGTGGAACCGTGAATTTAGAACCTGGGAACGCAATTATTGAATGTAATGATGCATGTTCTTGCGATTTGTCATGTCCTAATCGAGTAACACAACGTCGGCGAAACGTCAACTTGGGACTGAAAAGATTCGCGGAAAAAGGATGGGGAGTTATCGCATTACAATATATTCCAAAAGACTCGTTTATTACTTATTATCTTGGAGAAATTATAACGTCACAGGAGGCAGATTTACGAGGAAATAAATATGAAGTAGAGAAAACTTATTTATTCGATATTGATTTTTATGATGACGATAGTACAGCAACATCATTTTTTACAGTCGATGCTTGTAAATATGGAAATATTTCACACTTTTTTAATCATTCATGTGACCCTAATCTTGTGGTATTTCCGGTGCTTAATGGTAAATGTGATATAAGACTTCATCATATTGCCTTTTTTGCAAAAAGGGATATCGAATTTGGAGAGGAACTTACTTTTGATTATGTTGGAGCGATTGAATCAAGGCATGAGAGCGATGTTATTAGAATGGAAGTGGACGTTAAAATACAAGAAGAGAAATTGAAGTACGAATGTAAATGTAAATCAGAGAATTGTCGAGGGTATTTTCTTGCAGTTTGAGGTAATAAATTCAATGGATTAGAAAGTTTTTTTCTTTTTAGATTTAGATATGGATTTTGCAATTGTTTTGGTAGTATTGAAAGAAAAAATAGCTAATGATATATTAGCATAAAATATATTTGAAAAATACGTACAAGTTAAAAAAAAACATTCAAATATTTTGTTGAAAGTAATACTAAATTTCGTTAAAGATTAGTATGTTCCAAAAGTCTTACGATCAAATTTCAGGATGAATTATAATGTGAAAATCATGCTTTTTTTCGGTCGTATCTCAAAAATTTGCCTATTGTTATGAACAATCTTCCAACAAAAACTATTCAATTCATTATTTCAGTTTGAAGTTCAACATACATTTCATCATCACTTATTTTGACTAGATTTGAATATCATCTGAGTTTGTTTAACTTTTTTATTTGAGGTTGATAAATGTGTATCAATATGCCTCGTTTTTGGCGCGGGAAAATCAAAAAAAATTTTTGTCTGCACTGACCAAAGTACCCCTTTTTCAATACCCCCCTTGCAAAATACCCGGTACAAAATACGAGATCTCTATTAAATACAGATTTTTAGACTGCTTACTGTAAGTGTAGAATATGTACGTATATGCTTGAAAATTTTTTCTTGTGACACTGACCCGCTGCTGTATAATATACCCGGGTCTTTGTAATTTTTTGATGGGTAGATTATATTGTACCCTGGGTACTTTGGTCAGTGATGACAAAAAAAAAAAGGATTAATAATAAAATTTACACTTACCGTTACCTTATGTGAAAATACCGAAAATTTCCGAAAATGATATAGAAAATAATACAGTTAATACAATCTACTAATCTTTATATTACTGTATTACGATTAGAACCGGACTAGTTGCTCTACCTTTGTTAGAAATTGAAGAGAAATTTACTTAAATAGACCTTTCCATTGTAAGCTAGCTGCATTTCAACGTTATAGAAAGTTAAAATAATTTCCGAAGACTTTTACCATGAAACTTACTATTTTTTATATCCTTAGCCGCGATTTACCTCTTAAATGTTCACAATAACATCGAGATCAGCATTGTAAACCACAAGACCGAAAAGTTTTTGCACTCTTCGTGCTCAGTGATAATCTGAACAAATGATATATCAGATATATTATATAGAATATTTATCATTTAATATGTATTTTATAAATAGTAATTTGATTTAGGATTTTGTCCGCAAGTGTAGAATCGACGCTTAAGCTTCCTGAAAGAATGGCACACTATTGATGAATTTTAAAAAGTAGTTAATCATTCAAAGAAATTCCCAAGCTGTTCGCGAGCTTTTTTTTCTATGGCAAAAAAAATCCAGAATGTTCTAGTGTTTATTTAATGATCTACGCATGACATAACGTTAGTAATTTTTACTTGAAACTGTCAATTCAAACTGTTAATAACATTTAATGTGAGTTACGTCATTTGGGTGATATCATATCTTCTTAAATGGGTGGTAACAAATAAATTGTACTTTTCTTGATAAGTTCACATCAGCTACTCATGACATAGTCACCTACAAATTCACAACACATGAAAAAAATAATACGACGTTAATTTCTCATCTCAAATTCATCTCACTTATTCTCAAATATTCATCTCAAACCAATCTTAAGTTCATCTTCACTAAATCTCACTTAAAATATTCTGGCACCCCGTTATCTAAATGTCCGTCAACAGTGACTCAACTTGCAAGGAACAATATGTAACATTTTCGACGAAAAATACCGAACATCTAGCAGATAGGCCTAAAGCCCTAAGACGTCGAAAGACACCTTACGTTTGGGGTGACAATTTGAATCCTGCGTTTGACGACGATGATGAAGGATGGCATGACACTGATAGCACAAGCAGCGATAATAATAACAAAGATAAGATAGGTGAAAACTGTGGGAATATGGGTAAAAAAAATATGAGAGAGGGAGGCAACAATGAAATCGATGGAAATTTTAAAGATGAAGAAAATTTAAAAATGAAGAAATAGATGTCGCAAGATCATAATGAAATCGGATTAAAATAAAATTGGGGTTTCTCTATTTTGTATTATACAAAAATTTCATTTTAATTTGATTTCACTTTAATCTGCCACATTTAACGATTGTTTAGTTTTGAAATGTAGCAGTTTCTCATTTTCTTTATAAGCAGTCCTTTTATATATATATATTTTTTTATAAATTTCTAAATATGTAGTGAAAATCTCTGATTATGTATATGTATATGGACGTGCGTTCTTTTACATGTATATTACAATTATAGTATTAATGTGAAATAAATAATTTTTCGTTTCATCACGAATTCTAAATTTTCTGCTTTCTAATAGACATGAAAACTTTCTAATAGATTCGAAGAACTTGTGCAATTTGGATCAATTCATAGGAATACCTATTGATGTACGTGCGAACCTGATTTTGTCTTAAAGTATTATCGTTATAATACATTATATTTGAAAAGGTAGAAAGAAATTGATATGTTACACGAGCCCTTGTGATAAAATAATAAATAGGATGGTGAAACCCGCACTGAAAAAAATTAGTAAAATCTCTATGTAGATCACATTAGCGTTAGGGTAAAATCCGCGATTAGCTATGTTTTTATTATGCAAAAGCGGATTTCACCTTCATGTGATCTACGTACTAATCCACAGCGCGGGTTTCACCCTGCCTGTCGTATAATAATGGTAGCACTGAGATAAATATCAATTCTTTTTTGATGATCTTTCCTCATTTTATATTAAATAATTTATTTATATGAAGGGATAAAAAAATTATTCGCCTTAGTTAAATTTTACAACAAACTAACAGATATCAATGGACCTCTCTGGTCATTTTCAAACACCATCACAACGATCGATTTCCTCATTTACAAATTCTCCAAAACTTCATTTGCTCATTCCGATACTTCCAATACTAACAATCTTTGGTCCTGGATTTCAATCTATATCAACTTTTACATTTTTATGGTTCATACTATCAATATTTTACATACGTAATATATCAAAATGGTGGTTTTTCTTAATTTATTACGTTCTCAACAGTGTAGGATTTATGATTGCTTATTTGAACATGTTGGGATATGTCGATTTGAAAGGTTATCCTGGAATTGTGTTCTCTATTGGTTTATTAGTGACTCAGATTATGTTTATAAGTTTAATTTTGGATAAGATTTCTCAGCATTTGTTTAGTGTTATAGGATGGGCGAGAATTTTAACTTTTCCTTGTGTTTGGACCGGTAATTAATTTTCTTTACGCTAAAATCATTATAAAATTTACATCATTATTAAGAATTAGAATTATTCCTTTAACTATTAGAATAATATTTTGATCCGGTTAGTTATTAATCCGGTTTATTTTTTTTTTGTATTTGAAAAAAAAACCTTACTTAGGATTATGGACAATATTTCTTTATACTTGGGTTTTGGGTGATATGACAAATTATGCGTATGTATTTTTTATTTTTATTTTTAAGATTTTTGATATTTAAAAAATTTTCTTAAACATTTATATGTTATTAGTTTTGCCCTTCTTGGAATAGATGAAATAATGCAATTCGCTTCATTTGCTGGTTTAGGCGGCATAAATTTTATCTTGGCCTGGGGTGGTTCTATAGGTTGTGACATCCTCACTAACTGGCTTTTAACTAATAAAAAAGATTCTTTAAATGGTCAAAACACTGCACCGCTGATTGTCTATCAAGATTCGGAAGATAATAGCACGGATACTGTCTTATCCTCCACCAATAATCATCGAAGACGTCATTTAATTAACTTTTCTATACCACCAATTTTTACTTCTCTTTTTGTATATTTAGTCGTGATATTTTTAGTTATCACATATGGTTCTATCAGACTTTCAACGGGATATTTACCATTTTATCAGCAAAATATTAATGATTTCGCTCCTTCATTGATAACAATGGGTTGTGTAATTCGTCAAAATTCAGCGGTTAACTCTGATTATATTGAAACAACTCGTGAATTAGCTGCAAATGGTAGTAAAATAGTATTGTGGTCTGAAGGCTCTGGAAATATAACTGATACTACCCAATTAACTGACCTCTTTAACTCACTCACGAATATTTCCCAAACTTATAATACATATATAGGTGTTGCTTATATAGACATTCGTTCTGAACAACCCCATTATAATAAATTAACCGTTATTGCACCATCAGGTGACATAATAATAGATTATTCAAAAGCAAATTTAGTTCCATTTTTAGAAAGTAAAGTATTTAAGCGAGGTGTGAATGTGTTGCAAACTAATATAACGAAAGAATTTGGCGTTATTGGAGCGGCAATTTGTTTTGATTATGATTTTCCATCGTTAATTAAACAAGCTTCTCGTAAAGAGGTGAATTTAATGTTGGATGCAAGTAATACTTGGGTTAAGTATTTACTGTATTTGAATTATCCTTTATTCCATTGTTTAATGTTTATATGTATTTTCTAACAAGTTTTCATAATTTATTAACTTTTTAAAAAATTATAGGGTAAAATACTTTCATATAAAATCTCATATTTAATTTTCTATATATCTTTAATAATTAATCTATCATTTTCTTAAACTCTCATATATAGGTCCTGTAGGAATCCTCCATTCTCGTATGAACGCAATCCGTTCAATAGAAAACGGGTTCACAATGTTAAGATGTAATGCAAATGGAGTATCTGGTGTTTGGGGACCATACGGCTTGCCATATCATTATGTACCAACTACAACTTCAAATACTAAATTTGTTGCATTTCAAGTACCATTATATCCAAGGGTTAAAACTGTTTATGGCATATTTGGTGAAACTTTCGGATGGCTATGTGTTGCTATGAGTGGTGTAATAATAGTTGCTATGATAATCGAATGGAAAGGAAGTGCAGAATGGAAAGCGATTATCATAAAGTGGTTTTAGTTGAAGAAAATTATAAAATAGTTTTCATTAAAGAATATCGTATCATTATTATTATTACAGTAACACCCCTAAATATACCATCTCGGGTCCATATTTAAAACATTGCAAAATTTTCATTTAGAGAAAGATTGCATTTATGGTGTAAAATAGATATAGCTTTCATAAGTTGGAGCTAGACTGGACCGTGCGCTTGCACTCAGGGGGGTGCATTTAGAGGAACGAATATTAAAAAATTTCAATGTATAGCTGTTATTGCCGGTGCAAAGATGGTATACAAAACACGCGACGCAAAGAAAAAAAATTCAATTAATAAATTAAATTTGCTATTAAAAGAATTAAACGTATTTTTTAGAAATATTAATATATGAGCAATTTCTATTTGTACACTATATCGATATAGTATAAAACACAGATACTTATAATACTTAAATTTACTTAAAACGATTTTTGAAGTTCTAACAAAAAGATAGTTCTTGCAAAACTTTAATACTGTATAAATTATATCCAACCTTTGAACCTTAAGTATTATATTGTCTACAAAAAAAATTTATCGTTATCAACTACTATATACGAGGAAATACCTGAATGCGGAAAGTACAGGTTATTAAAATCATTGGTGATTTATCGTGATGATAATAACCTGTACTTTCCGGATTCGGTTTTCCATATAAAAGTTTGTTACGTATAAATTTTTTTTAGATACAGGGCTCTTACAACTAAAAATTAGAATCCCAAGTTTTGAATGGATTAATAAAAGGTCTCTGCAATGCAAGTTACAGAGCTAAATTTTATATCTGATTTAAAAAATTTTGCCGACAGCTTAAATTTCGTCCAGATTATCCAAAGGCATCTCAGTTTTATATATTTTTATATGTAAATATATTACACAAATGAAAAAATTTCAGTAATACAGGTGAGCCACAAGACAAATTTTTATAAATTTTTATATATCAAAATTCCCTTATATATATCAACTGTCGAGTTATTCTGTTGGTATACGTAGATGCAAGCGTATTGTCGAAATTAGTGTTCTCAGGGTTCTCATAAGAATATGATTATAAGTTTGTGAATATTATTGAAATTTTTTTGAGAACAAAATAATGTTCTTATAAGTAGTAGATTGTAAGATATAATAGAAGTTTTATATTCTTCAGCTTTTTTTTTTTTAGTAAACATAAACTATAGTTTGAGAACAATTTATCTGATCCAAACATAATCCCACACCTGGTGTGCATCACATAAAAAAATTATTTCACAATGATGGATCACTTAACCGCCAATGTTACAAATATAATCCCTCACAGTTTGGATCGGGCACTTTTCTTCCTGTTTTCTGTTCTCATGAGAACAGTCATTGAGTCTGAGATTTCTACGACCTTATTGCGTCAATATGTCTGCATCTCTATCTAATAGTAATGCCCGGATAATCGGTATCTATATTACAGTGTTGTAATCAGGGACGATGATTTTCTGCGATAATTTTATAATAACAATAAATATTTTATGAACGCAGATCTATACTTAATTAAGGTTAGTTACTATTTTAGGTAGGATACTTCTGCGCGGGTCTCACCCTGTCGTTTTATTCCTATAAATGTATAAAATCATGAGAATTTTTGATTGGCAAAAATGAAAGATTTAGTTTTTATCATTTGCTACGTATAGTTATGTATGTATATCAATATCTGATAACTGATAATCTTTTATCATTCCATGATAATGCAATTTGATCACGTGTAAGTTGGATTATTTTAAACATTAGAAAAAATCGTACCTAATAAAAGTTTTGGATACACATTTATGATTTTAAAATATATGAAGTACTGTAAAATTTTAGAAAAAAAAATTATTGGTTTGAATCAAAAATTCTATTGTAAATAATATAAAAATTTTGTGTAATGTTTTCAAAAATAACTTGTTCATGCTTAATACTGTATAAACTACTATATAATTTATTATAAAGTTTTAAAATTTCTATTATAGGCAAAATAATTTTATTAATCTACAGAATAAATTATAAATAAAATATATATATTATGTTATTATTTTATATCTAATATTGTATGCTTATTACAAATCATTTAGAAAGACAATTTGTCTGTAACTCCTGTCAACGCAGAGTACTTCCTAAAATTCAACACCTAAATTTAATGTCCCCTTATTACAGCATATTAACTAACGTTTACTGATATGTTCTAATCCCGATTCATCTGGTCAAATAAAATAAATCATGATCAGCAATTTTTAAATCTTACCCACGCACTTTTCTCAAAAAATCTCAAATATGAAGTTCTCTCATACACTTCAGTTCAACTCTGTACCAGACTGGGCTGAACACTATATTGCGTATCCTTATTTTAAAGGCTCGTTATCAAAAAAAAAAAACCTCCCGATTAATCAAAAAAAAAAAATCAGAATATCATTTCTAAAAGTACCTTAACTTGATTCTTGTTTTTATAAAGATACTCAAACCTTAAAAAACTTGTTTATCAAATTGAAAGAGAAATAATTTCGGTATCTATCGTTCCAGAAGATAATGAAGCAATTGAAGCGTCCCCGTTGTTAGATTCAAAATCCCGCGTCAACTCTATATTTATACCAGCACTTGATAAAGAACTTGCAAAGATCAGTACATTTTATATCAGTAAAGAGAATGAATTATTTGATGAAGTCACGAATCTTGTTCATGATTTTGCCGTGTTTGAAAATCTTCATGATTCTATAAGTATTCATAGTAACTCGCTAACTACAGGTCATTCTTATCAATCATCAGAGGGTGCATACAGTCAAGGTTATAATTCTCATTCTTATAGAAGAGGCAGATCGGCTTCAGATGCTGCTACTTCATGCATTAGCAGTGAAGATGATGAGAATTATAATTATTCAGCTATTAATTTACTTGATGGGCGTATATCTTATTTATGGGGACCACCATCAATTGAAGAACGAAGAATACACCTAAAGAAACGCACTATTGAACTTTTCGTTTGGTTATCTGAACTAAAATCATTTGTCTCCCTAAACAAAACAGGATTTTCGAAAATTTTAAAAAAATATGATAAGGTTACCAATGGTAATCTTAAGATTTCTTATTTAAATAATGTGGTTAATGACGCGTATCCGTTTAAAGCTTCAACTATTAAAAATCTTGAAGATCACATTTTAAAAGTGCAAGAAATTTATTCTTATTTATGTACGAATGCTGACATGGATGCTGCAGTGCGTGAACTCAAAACTCATTTGAGAGAATTTATAGTCTGGGAAAGGAATACTATTTGGAGGGATATTATTGGCCTAGAAAGAAAGTCTCATGCCGTAGGTGTGAAAGCACCCGTAACGGTAGAGAAACTAGTTGAAGTTCCTGCAAACATTAAAACACCTTTCGGCATGGTAACCGTGCCTAATACTTTCTTGAGGAATTTCTTGTTATTGATAGTTTGCGTTGTTGCTTTTTTATTCTGTTTGCATGCAAACTTGTTTGAGAAAGCAGAACAAAACAACTGTTTTGCTCTATTGATATTCGCTAGTCTTCTTTGGTCTTTAGAAGTAAGATAATCTTAATTTTAAAATTATTTATACGATCATAAATATTTATGCACCCTTTTAAATTTTAAATTATTTATATGACCATAAATATTTATGCAATACAGGTTATACCTCTTTTCGTCACGTCACTTTTAGTTCCACTACTGGTCGTATGTTTACGCGTATTACATTCAAATGAAGTTCCATACGATCGACTTGATGCACACGAGACTACGAAGCATATTTTTTCCGCCATGTTTTCACCCGTTATAATGCTACTTTTGGGTGGCTTTGCTATTGCTGGTGCTTTGAGTAAATATCATATTGCTAAAATGATGGCAACAGTTGTGTTATCGAAAGCTGGAACAAATCCAAAATTTGTTCTTCTGTCCAATATGTTTGTCGCAACTTTTGCAAGCATGTGGATAAGTAACGTTGCTGCACCAGTTTTGTGCCTTTCACTAATTCAAGTAATTATTATTATTATTATTATTATATGACAGGGTGAAATCCGCGGTTACATTATTGATGCTTATCATCGCCTAAAATAATATCTAACCTAATTAAATATAGATCTTCATCAAAGATGACTAAAAAAATCAAAAAACGCGGATTTCACCTTATTATTATTATTATTATTATTATTACAAAACATATGTCATATCTATAGTAACTAATTTTTTACATGTTAGCCAATTCTTCGAAACTTGCCTCCAGATAGCTCATTTGGACGATGCTTAATCTTGGGAATTGCTTTGGCATCAAACGTTGGTGGAATGGCATCTCCTATATCATCACCGCAAAACATAGTAGCGATTCAAAATATGAATCCTTCCCCTACATGGGCTCAATGGTTCCTCATAGCTATTCCGCTATGTATCATTGTGGATGGTTTACTTTGGATTTTACTACTTTGGAATTATCAACCACATAGTGATTCACTAACGATTCATCCAATTAGATCAACCAAAGATCCTTGGACTAGAACTCAAATATTTGTTATGGTGGTTACTATCATAACAATTTTATTATGGTGTATTGAAAATCAATTGGAATTTTTCTTTGGAGATATGGGTGTTATAGCAGTTGTACCATTGGTTTTATTCTTTGGTACAGGTATTTTAACTAAGGAGGATTTCAACAATTTTTTGTGGACGGTTATTATATTGGCAATGGGTGGTATAGCACTTGGTAGTGCGGTACATGATTCAGGGTTACTACATGTTATCGCTAAAACTATTCAGTCGATGACTAGTAATTTGGATGTATGGCAAGTGTTTGTGGTATTTTCTTTTTTGATTTTGATTGTGACCACATTTATTAGCCATACAGTTGGAGCATTGATTATTTTACCTATTGTCGCTGAAATTGGAGATAATTTGGGTGGTTCACATCGAAATTTACTTGTCATGGTTTGTGACCTTTAATCTGATTATCCTATTAAGACTTTTAATATTGGACTTACTAATTCACACCAGTGATGCTCAACGCCATAGTTGCCATTATTTCAAATTAATTAACCCTAAACTTTTAATAGTAAATTCTTACAAAATTATGTGTAATGTGGAGGGAGATCACTGGTGTGATTTAGCGCTACTGTTTAGCACATTTGTTAATTTTTAGTTTTTAATTCAGGGGTCGGCATTAATGTGTTCTGTAGCTATGGGATTGCCAATATCCGGATTTCCTAATATGAACGCGATAATGATGGAAGATGAGATGGGATTACGATATCTTCGTATATTGGATTTTGTAAAATCTGGTATACCTGGATCTGTTTTAGGGATGATGACTATAGTTACAGTTGGTTATGGATTAATGCTACTTATCGGTTTTTAACTTTTACTTTGGTGGTTATTGGTTATTAAGTCGTTGGTTTTTTAAATAGTAACTTAATAATTACCAAATTATTGTTAATTAGTATAATGTTAGAAAAAGTTGATTTGTATGATGTGAAATATTAAAGAAATCTTTGGTGCTGAAATTTGCAGATTATACCTATAAAATTAAATTTAATTATGATTAACTTCTTTATGATAATGCTGAAATTTCGTAGATATATACATTCATATTTTGTAAATATTAGCAATTTTAATATTATGCGACTTTTTAAAACTTTTCCTTATTATTAAATTGAGTTTATAACTAAACTTTTTATTTTATAATTTAAGTTAAAATTCATCATAGCTTCAATCGCGTTAGCATAATATACGCGAATTTCACCTTCACATTATTTGTAATTCCTCATATACACTTTACTTTTCAATTCTAACCCCACTTAAAAAGAAAAAAATTATACAATTTATAAACTATATAGATACAGTTAAACCTCCATAAGTGCACATCCCCTCTCTAAATGCATACTTAAATTCGGTCCCAATATATTTATATATACATACATGTCCTCCATAAATGCACTTTTTCTTATTGTTTTCCAGGTGCTTGTCATTAAAGTTCGGTCCCAAGAGTCCCAAGAGTATGATGGAAATTCATGTTGACAAAATATTGTTACACGAGTTTTTTATATATTATTTTGCAATAGAAATTTTTAATTTAAAGTAACAATATCGAAATTTTATAATTAAACCCTCTTGAAATTTTGCAAAATGGCTTTTTGGACGCTTAACTTTCATATAAAAGTTTGAGATCAAGTGTTCCACCAACTTTCATTAGAAGCGATTCTGACAATACTGGTATGTAGTACAATAGCAATATGATGTATTTTTTGACTTTTAAAGAGTAATAGTTAATAAAAATAATGTTTTCTTTTTGAATATATTGGTTCGAATTTCATGTAAGCAAGATGATTAAAAAATCAATCGTTTCACGATATACTTGCCGCCCAAATCCCCAAATCCAAAACTCAAGATAAATTAATCTTTTAAAAACTTTATTAATATTCTACACAGACACAAAAAATTTAACATAAGTATGAACACAGATACAAAAATTTGGTCATAAACTTTTATAAATATAAATGTAAAATGCAAGGTATTAGTTGGCATTTTAGTGTCTAATATGCTTATGTATTAATTGCATCTTTTATTTTGTGCTTATATTAATAATATGTTTATTATTTTTATGTCTATAAACATAAGCATAATGTAAAGATTTGATGTTTGGCATAATGCTTAATATGCTTAACATAAACATTTGCAGAACTTTATTAAGATATAGCTTTTTTACAAAATTTTTTATCTTTTATAATTTTTATTTAATTAAATTGAAAGATCAAATGTAATAAATTTTTAAAGTTAGAATTAAGTTATATTAAAAGAGAAATTTTTAATTAATTTTTTGTAAAATATTTATTTATAAAGGTTTTATTATTGTTACAAAATAGATTATTAGTATAGTATAGTATATTATATTATTAGCATTAGTTATATATATTTATTATTGGGATGTGACAACCTAGTGAAATGGATAGGTTGTCAACCTTCAAGTGGCAGGTCTAGAGTTCAAATTCCAGTAATAGTGAAAATTTGCAATTCTTGCTGTGTTATGGTTAACTGTCTTCTGTGATTGGTTGGAATAAGACACCTGTAACCTGTGTTATACTAGTATAACTGAAAGGTTTAGGCATTTGTGCAATACTATATGAAGGAACACAAACCAGTACTGAACAGTATAAACCTAAGATAAGTCTTTAGGTTGTATAAATTACAGAAACTAGGTAGGAAGATAGAAGTCTACTTGAAAGACCCAAATAGAGTGATAACCCGAACCTTTAATAGTGCTACTATAAAAATTAGATCTATAAAACTGAGTTAAAACTTGTAAAACTAGGCAAAGAGTCAGCCTTTAAGAAAGGGCTAAATGAAACCAACCAGGCTGCCAGAATCCATTCTGAAGAAAAAAATTACATGCTAACAAATATGTAAATCAAAGATATATGATTATAATCTGCCTTTCTGGGCTATCTGATTTGGAAGCTTGATAGAACTTAAATTAAATACCAAAAGTAGTAGAGATATGTTATGAAGTTAGTATCAGAGTTGAGATGAACTCTATAAGGGCATAGCAGTTTAATAATATACTCTGACTACTAGTATTGGTTTTGGCTATAGTAATACTAGATCAGCTATAAGAATGAAATACAGAAAATTCTAAAAGATTTAGTACAAGATCAAAGGTTTTCCATGTGAGTGAACTGCTTTAAAGACTTAGTGACCATGTCATATTTTCACTAGTATCACTTAGAGTTGTTGGTAGGCAAAAGTAGTTGGATGAATATAAAAGTTAAAATAGTTAAATAGAGAACTTACAGACTGGTTTTAGGTATGACAACTAGTGTAGAACCTTTAGGCAGACTATTTAAATTAGACAATAACTAAAGTTGTATGAGTGACTAATTGTACACTCTTTCTATAATTTCCTCTTGTAGTTGTAATGCAACTATTAGCCAAATATACTATCAATAAAATCCTAAATTACAAATACTCACCTTAATATTTAAATATATATATATATATATTTATTATTATATTATTATTCTTTAATCTGTAAGCTTTTCTAAACAAATTTGACTAAAAATTATTAAAACTTATAATTTAATTTTTTTTAAATTTTAAAATATTTAAATAAAATTTTATTTAATAATATTTAAAATAAGAATTATATTATAATAATATTTAATTTTATATTATAAGAGTGTAATAACTTAGTAAAATAGATAAGTTGTCAACCTTCAAGTAATAAGTTGTAAATTTAAAATTCACTGATAATCACCTATGTAATATATAGATGATATTATGACAACAGCATTTTGTTAATTAGTTTAAATAAAATATTTGTAACTATAGTTGCATTAGTATGACTAACAGATTATAGGATATTTGTATAATCTTGGTTATACAAAGGAATGCAAATCAGTACCAAGCAGTACAAATCTAAGATAAAACCTTTTGGTTGTATAAATCTGTAAAACAAAAAAACTAAATTTTACTTAAAGATATCAAATAGAGCAGTAATACAAATCTTTAATGATATTACTGTAAGGATTAGACTTAGAAAACAAATACTAATATAAAAAAATTGAATAGGAAAAAACCTCAAATGAAAAGTATTATTAATTAGACTGTCAGATTTTAAACTAAAAAAAAATATTAGACTAATCTTGATATACCAAGAACAGATTATAGTTCTTCTAGGCTATCTGAATTGAGAGTCTAAGAACAAAGCAGAGGTATACTAAAAGTTCTAGAAATATGTTATAAAGTCAGTACTAGAGTCTGAATGAACTCTGCAAGAGTAACTCTTGTTAATGTTCTATAGATTAGATAGTTAACAAAAGAGGCTGCCTGCATCTTACTAGTAGATGTCATGTTCTGAAATATGTAATGCCTTAAAAACTAGTATAAAAAAAGTAGATATCATACTATTCAGACAGTATACTGATTAAGTATATATAAAAAATATAGTAATGTTACATAATAATGAAGCAAATGATCAGAAATTTTAAATAGATAATCTTTTAATAAGTTATAAATACAGTATCTAGTATAGAATTCTAGAACAGACTACTTAAATAGACAATCAAAAATTGTATATATAACTAGTTGTATTCTTATTTCTATATAAAATAATTGTAATAACTAATCTTAATAAAAATTAATAAAGTTCTGTTATAAAGTATAACCTTTAATAAAAAAAATTTTATAATATAAAAAAAGTATGTTTGCTTATAAGCTAAAAATAGATAAATTTTAAAAAATTTTAATCAAAAATTTATTTTTAATTTTTTGACAAATTCTTTAAATATAAATTTTAAGTTTATAGTTTTTAATATATATAATATTTTAGCTTATATAAAAGTAATATTTTTTTCATTAAACTAGTTTCTTTAAAGTTAAAATTTTTTATTTAGTATTATAAAACACAAAGACTTATAGTTGAAGTTTCAATATAGTTATTTTTATATTAAAGAATACAACTAATTATATATACACTTTTGGTGTTTAATTTAAGTAGTTTATTTATAATTTTATATTAGTTGTTATATTTGCAATTTAACTAAAGATATTATTTATTTAAAACTTTTGTATTGCAATCTCTACTGTATTATTAAAACATTTTTAATATATATGTTAATTAAGAAGTTTTAGATACTTATCTGTATTTTTAAAAAAATTTATTTAGTTTTATACAGTTTATTTTTAAAAAACATTATTACTAAAATCTTTTATGTTTATATATAATTGATCTAGTTTTATATAATATACTATAGCAAAAGATAGCAATTCTAGTATAATAGTTGGGTTGTTATTTTCTAAATAATAGGTTTAGAGTTCAAATCTTACTGACAGCAGAATTTAAAAAATAATTCTATTTTGGCAACTTGATTAAAGTATCTGAAGTTGTAATCTTGTAATTCTGTTTATACCAAAACTAATTTTAGAAGTGTGCAATATTATACAAATAAATATAAAAAATATATACTCTATAAAAAGCTCTGTTTAAAAATCTCAAATAGAGAAATAGTACAATCTTCAACAGTATCACTTGTAAAAATCTTAATTTAGAGAAGAAAATCCAAAGCAGATAACTTATATAAGCAAGAACTTTTAGATAAAAAAGGTTTACCAACCTGGCTACTAGTTAATTTGAACATAAAGTTGCATTATGTAGAGCTTATTGAATTAGTAATATAAAAGAACTTGCAAGAATAAATAAGAAACTAGTAAAAATATAAAAGTAAGTACTAAGGTTGTATAAACTCTACAAAAGTATAATAGTTTAATAGTTAGTTCTAATTGCAAGTGTTGGTTCAGCTATAGCAAGTTTGAGTTAACTATAAATAAAAATACAGAAGGCTTTAAAAGGTTTATCTCAAGAAT